CTCCCGCCCCACCACCCCTCGTCTCCTTCTCCCCTCCGCCTCTGGAAGAATGGGCGTGGTACTGGTCCAAGGCCCCCAGTCCTATTGGAAGCCTTGGGCCCTTCCCTAACAGTGCAGATTGCTGGGTCTCAGCCCAAGGCCTGGAAGTGTCGAGCAGCCAACCCACCTGGTGTCTGACTACTCCTGGCTGCAGAAGTGAGCAGGACGGGGCTCACCCCACAGCAGAGACAGACATTGGAAGTGGGAGGGGGCTCGCCTGGAGTGCTCGGGCCCTGGATTCCATCCCAGCACGGCAAGAGAGACAGAAAGACAGTGGGTGAGGCCGCCGCAGGGAGCGGGGCACAGGTTTCAGATGGTGAGCTGTGCTGGGAGAGCGCACTGGGTGCTGGCCCCTTCCTGCTCCCACCCTGGGCCTGCCTGCAGGATGCCTGGAGTGACCGGAAGGGGCAGATCCACCTGGACACCCAGCAGGACTACCAGCTGCTGCAGGCACAGGGCACACCGGACGGCCTGTCCCTGCTTTTCAAGAGGCCCTTTGGCACCTGCGACCCCAAAGACTACTTCATCGAGGTAGTGTCCCAGCATGCTTTGCGCCTCTTACCGGGTGGCAGTGGCCTGGCTGGTGGCCTGTGCCCGGCCCTGCTTCGTATAGGTAGCTCTCTGGTGCCACTGAAAGAGACTCGTCACCCACAGTTCCCAGGGAAGGGGCCACAGTGCCATAGGGGCCAAGCTGGGAGCACCAGGCACAGCCAGACAGATTAGGAGCTGAGGGTACAGGTGAGGGCAGAGGTGGGGCTGGGCCAGGTCCACTAAGCGAGGTCGAGACCAAGAATGTTCTGGAGGCTCTGACTGCTGCACCTGGGCCGGGGTTGAGGCGGGAAGCACTGTGTGGGGTGTGCCAGTCAGTGAGGAGGGGCTACTGCAGGCCTCTAAGGCTCGGAGAGTCTCACCCACCCAGGAAGGCTGGGTCACAGGGTAGAGGTGAAAAACACTGGCCTTTTTTGTATTCCCCAGGACCACGGATCGAAACTCGGGCCTTTGCACTGAGCTGTGTCCCCAACCCTTTTAAAATTTGACTTACTTTTTTATGTAGAGACAGGGTCTTGCCAAGCCACTAACTTGCTCAGGCTGGGACCAAACTTGTGATCCTCCTGCCTTAGCCACCAGAGTGCTGGGACCTGCCTGGCTCAATGGCCACTTTTTAGCCCTGAGATTACTGAGTGGATGCCAAGTAGATAAATATAGAACAGTTGGTGATTTTCCAGGAGAGGAAACTGAGGCAGGGACACTGAGATCTCCCAGGCCCGCATGGGTGGGGTGCAGAGGACACGATCAGTGTCACTGCTGAGAAGCTATGGTTGGCGTCACAGGCCCTGACTCCTCGGGCTGGGCCAGCCTGCCCCGAGGGCACAAACCAGCCCTGCCACCAGCTGGCTGGATGAGAGGTGCCTATGACTTGGCTGGACTTAGAAAGGTGTGGGGCACAGGGGCTCGGGTGGGCATCCGGGGTCTCAAGAGTCCTCTCTTTGGCAGAGCTGAGAGGTGGCAGTGGTGGGCAGGGACATGGCTCCCCTCTGGTGCCAAGGAGCCCACACTGGGGGCCCCGAGCAGCTGATGACTGGCACTGTCTGTCTGCAGGACGGCACCGTCCACTTGGTCTATGGGATTCTGGAGCAGCCCTTCTCTTCGCTGGAGGCCATCAACACCTCAGGCCTGCAGACCGGGCTGCAGCGGGTGCAGCTGCTGAAGCCCGAGCTCCCCGTGCCAACGATGCCCGCAGACATGCGCACCATGGAGATCCGGGCCCCCAACGTCCTCATTCCTGGCCAGGAGACCACGTACTGGTGCTACATCTCTGAGCTGCCCCCAGGATTCCCCCGGCACCACATCGTCATGGTACGGGCCGGGCTGCACTCTGGCCTGAGGGCCCGTGTCCTCGGCCCCGGACAGCTGCCCTGGGCCCTCCTGCCTCAAGCCTGAACACCAGCCTGTGCTCTCTGTCCCTCACCTGCTCAGGCCCGCTCCGGGGCCTCTGAGCTCTGGCCTCCAGGCCTGGACCATGGTACCCAGGGTTGATTTCAGTGTCTGTCCCTGGGTCTGGGCCGCTGTCTGTCTGTCATCCCCCAAGGAGAAGCAGTGGGAGAGCTCACTCGCTGTAGAATGGAGATGACAGCTTCCAAGGTCACCTTCCAACCTGGTGGGGCCGCTAGGGACCCCATCACGAGAGTGCCCAATACTGGACACTGCCTGTTTCCTGGGGAGGATGAGCAGCCAGAGGGGTCGAGTGAGTGCCCAACACCACACTGCAGACAGCCTGGCCTAACTGGGGGCCACAGGGCCCGGTGCGTTTGCTCAGAAGTTGCCCCCACACAGGAGAGCACAGCTGCCCTCATGCCCCTCCCTGGTCAGGAAGTGGCCGCAAGGGGCCCCGATCCTGTTCCTCCAGCAGACTGCCCACTCCACAGTGTCCCTAGAGGCTGTGCCCTCGTGCCTCCCCATTGCGGCGTGGTGGACTCAGGCTGCAGGGGCAGGGAGGGGTCTGCCACGCCAGGCTGCCCGCTCAGGCTGCTGTGTCTCCGTAGTATGAGCCCATCGTCACCAAGGGCAACGAGGCCCTGGTGCACCACATGGAAATCTTCCAGTGTGCCGGTGGCTTCGAGAGCTTCCCACACTTCAGCGGGCCCTGCGACTCCAGGATGAAGCCCAACCGCCTCAACTACTGTCGCCACGTGCTGGCTGCGTGGGCGCTGGGCGCCAAGGTGCGTGGGTCCTGCCCTTGCAGAGCCATAGGCAAGGAGGAGACGTCCACGCCTCTGCATCCCTGATGCCGGGTGCCCGCCCACCACCGGCGTCTGCATCCCGAAGACCCAAGTGCCCCATGCACCCAAGCACTCGGTGGGTACCAATCCCTCATCAGGGCTCTGTGCACAGCCCCGGCCCAGGCCTGGAGGTGGCCAGGTGAATTGCCAAGGCCTCATGGCTCGGTCCCCTCAGCTCGTAGCACTGTCTGCCCCGGAAGATCCATGGCCAAGCAGTAGGCGGCCGTGGCACAGCCCCAGTGTGATCCAGCTGCCCCAGAGCCACCGCCCCACAGCTCAGGCCCCAGTGGGCAGGCAGGGTTGTCCACACCCTGTCCAGAACCTTCTCCTGATACTGCTCCCCTCCCTGCCCCTACCCCTGCAGGCGTTCTACTACCCAGAGGAGGCCGGCCTTCCATTTGGGGGCGCAGGGTCCTCCCGATTCCTCCTCCTGGAAGTCCACTACCACAACCCACTGAAGATCCAAGGTAAGCCCAGCAGCTGGGGACAGTGGGTGCTGGCATTGCTTGGCGCGGCATCCCAAGGCCTCAGCCCTTGTGTATGATCTGCAGAGGCACAGGCCTCCTGTGTCTCCATTCCCGTCCTCCTCCCAGGACAGGGCCTGTGTGGCCGCTCCTCAGCTCAGCGCCCAGGGGCTCAGCACTTCCTTCCTTCGGTCCCAGCACCACCCACCTGGGAAAGGCCCGGGAGAGGTTCTCACACCCTGTGTGCCAATGTGAAAGCCGAAGCCCAGGTGTGCGGGACCTCACCAGGGCCACAGAGTGAGAGGGGTTGGCTGTCCCCGTGGCCTCAGTCACGCAGCCTTGCAATGGCTGAGCTGCTTGGGACCTGGTGAGCACAGCTGGTTCCAAAGCTGCTTCTGTGGGCAACAAATTGTTTGCTCTGTGTGTGTGTGTGTGTGTGTGTGTGTGTGTGTGTGTGTGTGTCACAGTAAGAAGCCAAAACAGCCAGATTGATAAGTGGCTGGGAGGCTGGGCAGGGCCTGCGGCCCTGGGGCCCTGGCTGGATGTGGGTGCGGGCTGCCCGCAGCTCAGCCAGTCCCAGTTCTCTTGCTTTCTGCCCCCACTGGGATTATCTACAGCAGACCCAGAGAAGGCCGCAGGCGGCTGGGCCTCCAGCAGGCCCCTGGATTTATTGCTCATTTAAAGCCTGAAAGCAAATGGATTTTTGAAAACTCCTTAAGCATCAGGCAAGTCTGTCTCCTTTTGGCGATCCGCCTGTATTTATGGACCCCTTGCCAAATATAGGAAGGCTTCTGTCACTTTGCAGATCTTCAAAGGGTTGCTTTTTCTATAAATATCAAAATCCTACAATTATCTCACTACTTAATCCTCATCTGAATCCTCACCAATTGCTTCTCCCTTTTTATTATCATCCTGTGATGTAATCAGCCCAGAGACACGGGAGCACTGGAGCTTAGCTGTGGAAAGTGGGCTGTGGGGCAGAGCCTCTGCTTCCCAGACCTGTTTCCCCACCTGTAAATGGGACAAAGTTTCCCACTGAGGTGACCAGCTGTGGCCACGGAGTCCCTCTGCGTCCAGTGGGCTGATGTCCTGCCGAGGCCCCTGTGGATGTGGGGACAACAGAGCAGGTGTGGGTGGCCGGTCCACCTCTCAGCCCAGGGCGCTAGGTCTCCAGGGTTCGACCCTTGGGGCACTAAGAGGCCTCTGCCCACCGTTTCTGCCCCGCAGGCCGGCGCGACTCCTCAGGCATCCGCCTGTACTACACGGCCACACTGCGCCACTTTGACGCCGGCATCCTGGAGCTGGGCCTGGTGTACACGCCTGTGATGGCCATCCCGCCGCGGGAGCCCGCCTTCGTCCTTACCGGCTACTGCACCGACAAGTGCACCCAGCTGGTGAGCAGGCCGGGAGGCCGGGCGGGAGTGACGGCTCTGCTGCCCGACCCTGAGCCAAGGACACCTGTTGGTGTCCTGGAGGCCAAGGTCCCTGTGTCCCCATGTCACTTTCAGGAGGAACCCGCAGTCAGCCTGACAGCATGTGGGCTCCTAGAAATGTGTCATCGTTCCTTGCACAGCCTAGGACAGCAGGGAGGAGAGACAGCCCCCACCCGGCCTTAGGGACCGCGGAGACATTCTAGACAGCAGATGACTCCCTGCCCTGGGGCTGACTTTCTCTAGATAGAAACTTCCTGAAACACGTCACCGCTCCGTGTGACTCAGCCACGTCCTCCCCTTGGCCATGCTCTGCTGCTCAAGAGGTCCAGGTGCTGGCAGCACATTACCCCCAACTGCTGTCCCTGCCCTGTGCCCGTGTACCCTGGCAGCGACGTGAGGAGCAGGAGCCCGGGATAGGCCCGGCAACTCTGCAGTCTCTGAGGGGTTCCTGGGCGTCACTGTGGCTCCGTGGTTCTGAAGCCAGCTGCTGGCCAGGGACTCTGGCATGCGGCAGGTACCTGTGCAGATGAAGCAGGCCATGCCATGGGCCTGCCCGGGGGCCTGGCATGTGGTGGGCACTGCTAAGCACCGCATCATCACTCATCTTTGTCACCTCACAGACAGGGAGCACAGGCCAGGCCCGTCCTACTCCCCTCTGTGGCCCTGTTGTGCCTTGACCACAGGGCTCTCTCCCTAAAGGTCTGCAGATGGAGGTGACCCTGGGAGCACAGGACAGGGGACCCCTGGCCATGGGGCCAACAGGGGAGGGGCCAGGTCTGAACCCTGCAGCGCTGCCTGAAGCAGGGAGCTGACCTGACCAGCAAGAAGACAAAGATCCGATGCCCGGGCAGCAGAAGAGCGGCCCCACTTCTGGTCCCCACAACCCCGGCCCAGACCTTGACCATGCCCTGCCCCCCCACAGGCCCTGCCCGCCGCTGGGATCCACATCTTCGCCTCTCAGCTCCACACGCACCTGACTGGGAGGAAGGTGGTCACCGTGCTGGCCCGGGATGGCCGGGAGCTGGAGGTCGTGAACAGAGACAACCACTACAGTCCACACTTCCAGGTGGGCACCGCACCCCACCCACTGCCCCCTGTGCCCACCCAGCATCTACAGCAGCAGTGGCCTCTGATGGTGGATCTGGGGAGCCCGCAGCCTGATGGGGTGTCATCTGGAATGGTTGTCTCCTTGTTCTGATCCCATCCCTTTGGCCCCAAAACCCACACTTGGTGTCCCCGGCTCCCCTGAGAGGCCAGGAAGAACTGGTGCCTGGGAACAGTGGAGCAGGGTGGCCGGGAACGAGACATACCACTCTGCTCTCTCCTACCCAGGAGATCCGCATGTTGAAGAAGGTCGTGTCTGTCCTTCCAGTGAGTGTCCGTCAGGGACGAGGTGGCCAAAGGGCAGAGATGGGGGAGTGGGCCGGGGCAGGAAACATGTGGGACTTCTGAAGGTCATCAGAGGGCCTGAGCCACCCCCAGCCTGGCCGTCCCAGTCAGGATTTGGGGTGGGTCCCCCATCTTTCGGGAGGGGAGGCCCAGACTGGGTGGGAACCTGAGCTGTCACACAACCAAGTGTGGTGTGTCCTGTCCGTGGCCCGTGTCCTCTGGGCCACATGAGTGGAAGGGTCATGAGGCCCTGGGGACCCTGAGACTGGGACCCTACGGGGGGGATGTGGAAGCCCTGCTGGCCTCCTGAATAGTGGGCGTCAGTCTTTCACCAGTACATGCCACAGCTCAGTCTCAAGATATGGGCCTGGGAGCCCGTGAGTGGTACTGACTGCCTGCTGGCCTCTCCCAGGGGGATGTTCTCATCACTTCCTGCACGTACAACACAGAAGACAGGAAGTTGGCCACTGTGGTGAGTCCCCCGTCCTCTCTCGGCCAGCCATCGGGTGGAGGAGATGTCTGGCTTTCCTGAGACTGCACCCAAACTCCCCCCGGCCCGGACGCGGGCCTTCCCACCCTCACTTCCCCAATCTGCCAAACATCCCAAACTGGCTTTGCTGAGTCCAAAACTAAGGGAGTGGTGCCCACAACCTGTGCTCAGGTCTGTGCTTCAGCCTGGCAGCCACTGTGCTAATATGGGCACCTGTGTGCCCAGCACGGTGTGGGTCCCAAGCCTACTAGGAGACAGAGATGCCCGCAACAAGCAAAGTAGTTAGAATGAAAAGCAGACCCAGGTGGCAGAGAGCAGGGCCCATGGGAGGCTGACCAGAGACGGCTTTGGACAAGGTAAGAGGCCGTCAGGAGATGCTGTGGCCAGGCTGGGGATTCCTAAGTGAGCAGCCATGCAGCCACGGGAGGCTGGGGACGTGGCAGAGGCCAGGCGCATGTGTGACCAATGGCTGCAGGGACGGGGACCCAGTTTGGCCATGGGAGGGACCGTTCCCCAGGCCAGGTGTGCACACAGCCCAAGGGAGGATGGTGGAAGAGGGTGCCATCCTACGGGGTGCTGAGGGGTCCCTTGACCTTCTCATCCATCAAGGCGCCCCGGGCCTCCCCTCTCCCCCCCTCATGGATCGTGAGGTCAGGGGGACCAGATCCATGCGCCCCACACGCGAACGTCACAGCTCCACACTACATGGGTGAAGACACTTGCAGGTACCTGAGAGCTCCGACAGCTGCACCACCGTGGTTAGGGTTTTTCACGTGTCTCAAGATGCAATTGTCACACTGCACCACACACACATTCCAAGTGTGCAATTCGATGATTTTGTCTATTCCCAGACACTTCATATTCCAAAAGAATATCACTCAGAACTGCCCACTCTTTAACGCCCGTAAAACAGATCTGGCACTTTATCCGATCCCCAGACAGTGAACATTGGTGCTGTTTCCACCTCTCTGTTAGCTCTGCCTGGGTCTCCAGGGTGGGGCTGCTGCCTACCTCTCCACAGGTGAGCTGTGAGGGCTCAGAGAGGGCAGACCCCTGCCTGGGTGCACAGCTGATAAAGAGCCCTGCCAGATGGAAGCGAGGGGCCCTCGTCACAGCCTTCCTCCCTCCTTCTGGGTCTGCAGTGATGACCCCTGGGTCCTGGTCACCAACCCAGGGTGCAGGAGAGTGTGTTGGGCCTTCCACCCTGTTTCTCTGGAAGGGCTTGGCCTGGCACTCACATGTGGCTCTTGTTGCCCATCGCCTGAGCTCAGCCTGCAAGTGGATGGCTGGCAAGTCACAGCCCAGCCCCGTCCTGCAGGTGCAGCCCTGGGGACCAGGCAGAGGGACTTGCAGGCACCAGGACTTGGTGTGCAGCAGTGAGGCAGCCCCCAGGCCTCCTGTCCCACAGGCAGGGCCAGCTCATTTGGTGGTACAAGCAGGACATGCTGGCTGCCCTCCCACTGAGTAGCACTGACCACTGACCCTGGGCAGCAGGTCATGGTCCCAGGTACAGAGACTCCTGCTGGTCATCTCAGGGGCCGCCCCTGCCCTCCATCTTGGCACCAGGTGGCATCAGGAGAGGGAGCTTCTAACAGGCGGGTGCTGGAAAGGCTGCTTCCTCCCAGGAGAGAGGGATGCAGGCTCAGGCCACCACAGCTCTGGGATAATGGGGCAGGGAGCTCAGGGAGTCAGGTTACAGACACTGGGCCAGGAACTTGGGATCAGAGGCCAATGCAGGCCCACTGCCCAGTGTACGGGGCCGTGCCTGGCTGGGCTCACCCGTGCTCCGTGGCTTCCTTGGCAGACAGCTACAGGAGAGCTGCCCTGGGATGTCTGCATGGGGAGCCCCGCTGAGCCCCATACCCTGTTTTGTTCTGCCACTGTGGTGAAGGTCTATCTTCCCCACAGCCCCACCATTGTCCAGAGGGCCACAGAGTTCAGTCCCAGCTCCTGTGCAAGCTCTGTGTCCCTGGTTCTGAGAGTGGGGAGCCAATGGTGGGACTGGGGCCGCTCTGCCCCTCCCATGCTGGGTGAGATGGTGTGGTGACTTCTAGGCACTGTCCCCTATGGAGCCCTGCTCCTCTCTGCCAGGTGCCAGAAGTGACCAGTGGCCCCAGCGCTTGCTTCACGAAGCTCCCGGCTCTTATTGGGAGACTGCATCTGCTCAGGTGGTGCCAGGGGCTTCAGAGCCAGGGCAGGATTGTCCCTTGTCCTCCTGAGACTCCGCTCTGTACCCATAAGACAGGAACAAGAGGGCCTGGGCCCGCTTGGATTTCACTACCTTCGCAGCCGTGCCCCCTCCAGACGCCTGTGTCTCCTACAGTGTGGGGGATATGGGTCCCCCCAGGGAGGGACCTCGTCCCCTGCTCTGACCTGGGCCTCAGCAGAGCTGCTGAGTGATGGCCTTTAAGAGGAAGGAGCCAGCCCTGAGGGGTATCCTCGGCTTGCAGGGGGGCTTCGGGATTCTGGAGGAGATGTGCGTCAACTACGCGCACTACTACCCTCAGACGCAGCTGGAGCTCTGCAAAAGTGCTGTGGACGCTGGCTTCCTGCAGAAGTATTTCCACCTGGTGAACAGGTGACGTGTCTGCCCACATTCTCAACACCCAAGGCCGCAGAGACCCCAGATGCAGTTGGGAGGAGGGTGAGTGGGAGGGATCCAGACCAAGCTCCCAGAGTGGAGTTAGCACCTGTGGCCCCCAAGACCTCCAGCCGGCTCTGCTGCCCGCCAAGGTGTCCATGGCAGGCATCACTAGTCAACCCCCGAGCTCACGATCTGGCCCTGGAGCAGATGGACGTGGAGCCGTGGCCACATGGGAGCAGGGCCTGGACATCGTCTTGGGAAGCTGGGTGAGGGCACGGAGCCTGGGAGAGCAGCACGGCTGACCTGGTGTTCTCAACAGGCCACTCCCCCATCCGCACAGGTTCAACAGTGAGGAGGTGTGCACCTGCCCGCAGGCCTCTGTGCCACAGCAGTTCGCCTCAGTGCCCTGGAACTCCTTCAGCCGCGACGTGCTGGCCGCCCTGTATGGCTTCGCGCCCATCTCCATGCACTGCAACAAGTCCTCGGCCGTGCGCTTCCAGGTGCGTCCTTGTCCCCAGGGCATGGGGCTGCAGGGTGCCACCCAGCTGGTCCCCCTTGGCCACACCCCTGCTGCCCCCCAGCCAGCAAGAAGAAGAGGACCTCAGCAAGGGGTGTGGGGCCGGACCCCAAACGGTGGGCAAGAAGCACTCGGGATGCGGGCAGCAGGTGGGGCCCACAGTCTAAGGGGACAGACACACAACACTAACACCTGGCAGGGCAACGCATGGCAGGGCAGCGCGGCCGCCTTGCAGGGGACAGCACAACACAGGTCATCTCATCCCTCACTGGAGGTGGGGGGAGAGCAGGGCCCCACAGCCTCCCCCAGAGTGAAAGGAACTACAGCGTGGAACCTCTCTCCTTGGGACCCTAATTCATTCCCTGCTGTGAGCTGTGGGCCAGGGCATCGGGCTTCTGCTGGGCACCAAGGCCCTGCAGCCGGGGTCTGGGGAGTAGCCCGTGGCCCAACTCTCTGGGAGCTGGACTCATCACTGAAAAATGCCCTGGCACGGGGCAGCTTGGGACAGATAGGCGATGCCATTGTGCCAAGGGCCGGGGCACTGCCTGGCCATGGAGTGGAGGGGGTTGGGAGGCAGGAGAGGCCTGGATGGCTCTGGGACTCCTGAGCAGGTAACCAAGTCGCTGAGAGAGGCGTTCACCCCAGGAGGGACCCCGAGGAGCAGCTTGGGGAGGCAGCTCTGTTCAGATGAGGGGGGTGGGGGCAAGAACCCCAGAGACTGTGGGGAATGTGTTCGGGGAGGTGCCACCCTCCCTTGCCCCAGCCTCAGTTTACCTCCTGGTCCCTTCTTTGCAGGGTGAGTGGGATCTGCAGCCCCTGCCTGAGATCATCTCCACCCTGGAAGAGCCCACCCCACAGTGCCCAGCCAGCCAGGCGCAGCACCCTGCCGGCCCCATCGTGCTCAGCATCGGCCACGGTAGAGGCTGAGGGGGGCCCTGTCCCTGATCCCTGCTTCCTGCCATCCCCCTGGCTCACACTGGTCCTGTGCACCCTACCTGAAGACCCCGTGGAAACTCCGTCACAGCGTGGCCAAGCAGGTCCGTGGGACAGAAACGGCCCCTGACCCCTTCGGATTCTGTAAAGAACAGGACTGAGGGTCTGAGGCCCACCCGGCGCCCCCCGGGCCAGGCTCACCCCAATGCCGTGGCGCGCCCCCTTGTCTCTGGTGGTCCCTGTTGGTGTGCGCAGTGCCAGTGCTACTTAAACACTTTCCGCAATGAGGCTGTGCTTCCTGTGGGCGGCTTCCCTGCCACAAGGCAGGCCGGGCGGCTGGTCAGAGGCCTGCCTGGGAAATTTCTCATTGCACAGCAAACAGATATTGTCACCCACCTAAGGGGAAGCCACAATGCCCCCCACCACCCAAAAAGGAGCCAGCCAAGAGCCCTCAGGATCCCGGGTGCTGCTGCTGCGAAAAGTCAGGGCGGCACTGGCTTCGGCAGGTTGGGGGAGTAGCAGGGGAGGGGACGGGCTTAGGACTGGGACCACACTGCCAAGCCCTGTTCGGCCACGGGCCCGGGAGGCTCTGCTGAGCAGCTGCGGCTGAAGCCAAGGCCCCCACGCCAGCTTCCAAGCCTCCCCTCTGGGTCCGGCGTGGCACCGAGCACTCTGCCCGTGGCTGGCCCAGGTCGTCACTGGTCCCCTGAGCCTCTCCCACCCAAGGCCGCTCCTCTCCGATGGATCCTGGAGGAAGTGATGGATTCGGCTCTGTTCAGCCACGTCAGCGAAACGCTGGCTGCCCGCGAAGCAGAGGGTGATGGACGGGCCCTGGGTCTCCCAGACACTGGCTCAGCAGCCGCGTCCCCTTGAGCCGGAACTTCATTACCGGAGTAAACACACAGGGCCGCTCCACACTGCACACTGCAAATCACAGCCGTCCGCAGCTCTGTCAGGCTGGCAGCACAGCCAGAGCGCTGGGCCCTTTGTCATCTTTACAGCCCAGGTGACAGGGTAGCAACCCCTCTCTGACTGGCCACTGCCAAAGACCCTTGGCATCCCAGGATCTGGGAGGGGGGATTCGCCAGCCCATGGCAGCCACACCTCCCACAGCAACTGCACCCCCGAGCCCTGAGGGCCCTGGAATGTGCCACACACAGACAGGAAACAGAAGTGCCTCGCCTGTGGGCCTGAGAGGACCACGACTGGGCATTGCCACAGCCCCACGGTGCCATCCACAGTGGCACCCCAACCCCAGTCACCCACTCCCGCTCCCTGCCTGGGTGCCCCCTCCCACAGAGGCCTCCCCGGCACACAGCGTGCCCTCCCAGGCCATGACCAGATGACCAGTGCCTCCTACTCCGCACTCGGCTCCGGGCCAGGCCCGCTGTCTGTTCCCTTGACAGATGAGGAAACTGAGGCCTGGAGACCTAGAGTTGGGGCCAGCATCCCCCAGAGTGAGCTGTGGAGCCTGGAAGAGACCAGGCAAGGTGGGGTGGCTCCAGGGGATAGGCACCCCACCTCCATTTCCTCATTTATGAAACAGGAAGCCCAGGGCAGGGGGATTACCCAGGAGGACACAGGGACAGCACTCGTGGCCGGTCAGAGGGGGCTGCGTGGCCAGGTCCCCCATAGGCCCCAAGGCGAGGGACTCTCTGGCTCCGGTCTCTGGAATGACTGGGGTGGTGGAAAGAGCCTGGGGTGACTCTTGCGGTCTGGTCCGGGGGACTTCCCCTCCTTGGGCCTAGGTCTCCCCCCGCAGGAGAGGGTGGCCCATGAGGGATGACTTGAGAAACCGAAGCAGGAGTTGAGCAAGGGAGCACGGGGATCGGAGACCCTGCGTCACACAGGCTGGTGGCTCTCGGAAGGCTTGGCCACCTGCAGAAGGGGAGGTCAAGACACAGAGCTTCCTGGCTCTCTTCCTGTCCCCCATCTAAAGTGGCCACCCTGAGGAACAGCCACGCCCATGTGTCTCACTGCCCCCTTCCTGTGCCTGGGGCAGGCGGTGCTAAGTGATCTCCACTCTTGCCCAATTCCTGGCTCACGCAAGGGCTCCCGCCACCCAGAACCACTCAGCTGAGCTCCAGCCTCTTCTCTGCCTACCAAGCTTTACTGTGTGCTTTCTTAGACATTAACAGGGCCGCAAAGTGAGGTCTCTGCCCCAGGCCATACAGGTTTGCTTCTGGGGGAACTTGTGGTGAACTAGACGCAGACTCTGGTCAGTGGCCCCTGGACAGACCACGGCGAGCTCTTTGTCCATTCCTGGTTTGGGGAATAGCAGGTCAGGCCCAAGGTCAGGACGGGGAGGGCCCAAGGGTGTCTGGTGTGTTCCTCCTGAGTGGCCTTGGCTCTCAGTAGATCCCCTTCACCCTCTTGTTCTCGGGATCGAAGAGGGGTTTCAGGTGGACCTGGGCAGCGTACGGGACCCCCATCCTCTCCAGGGCATAGTCCCCAGTCTTCACATAGTCCAGGGAGACCTAGGAGCAGAGGAGGGGACAAGTTTCACTCCCATCCCTGGGTGGGCACTGGGTTTCCATCCACCTGTGTTGAAGCCACCCTCCCCAGGCCCAGATGTGGGCACAGCATGGGAGGTCATCTCCCACATGCCCTGGGGGTCAGATGAGGGGGCACCAGCTGGGCCCTGCAAATCCAGGTCTGGTGGCCAGAGCCGCACCCTCCGCCCCAGGAATCCCAGATCCCTGGGAAACAGGCAGGACTCCGATGGGGCCTGGAGCTGGGCCAGCACAACAGCTGTACCGGCAGAGCAGAGGCGGGGCCAGACCGCAGGTCCTCAGGGCCTGCAGGGGTGGAGCAGCTCTGGACATGCAGCCTCCCCAGCCCACTCCCTGGCTTGGCCTTCCCAGTGGCCCTCGAAGACCAGTGGGTGGCACTGTGCCCAGTTTGGCTCAGCTGATGATGCCACACGGGCAGCACTGCGGGACACCTGAGCCAGCTGGGGGCATGCTTTTCCTGGACTGCACTCACACAGGGGGCGGCTGAGGGGGTGCCTGGGGCTCTGCCCTGGGACTTGGGGGCCTGCTAGCATCCCTAGAAGCTCAGGACAGGGAGAGAAAGAAAAACTAACACAGCTTTCTGTGCCCCAGAGCTTTAAGGGGTGAATGGGGAAGGAAGGCGGGCGCCAAGGAGTGGGCAGCTCAGAACAGGCACGGTCCCTGCTAACAGACACCCTGCAGCCAAAATCCTGCCCCAACTGGCCTTTCCATTTGAGACTGAGCGGGATCTGTCTAGGAAGAAATCTGTGCCACCCGCTGGCACCCTTGTAAACATCTGATAGCATGTAGGGCAGAGGCTCTGATCCATAAATCAGGTAAACCCGAGATGGCCCTGGCTTTGGCATGAGGGGCCCTCGGGTCCTGGCCTCCCATCTGGAGGTTTCAGCTTGGTATCCTAGATAAAATGCCCCTGCCAGCAGGAAGGGCAGGTGGCACTGTGTTTTGAGGGAGAAGGCTAGAGCCCGCACCCACTCCCCCGGCTTGAGAGGGTGAGCCCGCCTGGGTGGGGACCTGGCTGGCCTCCGGGGTCAGAGACGGCCCCGGTCACCACATCACCATGGAAGCTTATGAGGCCCCATGTAGCAGTGTGTAGCAGTGTGTCCCTGTTTTACAGATGAGGACAGAGAGATGGGCTCAGAGAGAGGGCCCTTATCCAAGGTCACCAAGCAAGGAAGGGGCAGAGCCCCAAGGCTGGAGACATCAGGCTGGGTCCCAGCCTGGCAGCTGCACGCAGGGCCCCGCCTCCCCAGAATGCCATCTCCTGCCCACGGCTGTGCCCCACCCTGTCCTGCCCTGCCCATAGCTCTGGCCTGTGTGACTATGGCTCGGACCACACCGGGCTAGGCACAGGGGCCTCACTCAGGTCTGGGCCATGGCAGGTCAGCTCCCAGGGAAGACACCACCCTGTTCCTCAGCACCCCTAGCCATGGCGGACAGGGGGCAGAGGAGACAGAAACAGCCCTTTCCTTCCGGTGCCCAGGGCTGCCCTGCCCGTAGTCCTGCAATCAGCTCCTAGGTGGACTGGGGATGAGGAGGGAGGAAGGGGGTCCAGGAAGAGTCTCGGGTCCCAGGTGCACCCCTAGCAAGAGGTGTGCAGAGGCTCAAGGTCATGGTGTCCAGCTTCAGGAGTCCAAGGGTCTGACCCTGCCCTGCACCTCCTCCAAACAAGGACGTTGCAGAGCCGCCGAGGCCCGCTGCCTTCAGAGGGCACAGAGACAGCAGGGCCAGGTGTGGCCAGGCAGTCGTTCATGGGGCTCACGGGCTGTGCCCCACCTCCCTCACCCCTGCTGCCCATTCCTCGAAGGGCCAGGGCACGGGGCTCACCGGCCCACCGCTGGGGTCGCGGATGTAGCCATAGGCGATGGTCTTGTCCACGGTGAACCCGAAGTCGGCCCTCCGCACGTGGCCCACCACCTGGCCGTCCCTCCAGATGGCCTCCAGGCCAAACATGGGCACCTTCCTGGAACAAGCAGGAGAGGGAGCTGCGACCCCGGATTCCAGGCCAAAGAACTCCCACTGCAGTCTAGGGGTACGGGGCTGCCCCGCGGGGACCCTGTAGGCTCCATCACAGGCTGTGACTGAGCAGGTGGTGAACAGCAAACAGAACCGCAGCTGTCCAGTGCCAGCAGGCATGAGCCCGTCTGTCTGCAGAGGCCAGGGATCTAAGGGTCACCTATCCACCCTGCTCGCTCATCTGTTATCTCAGTATGACCACGTACCTCCACGGTATGGGCTGTAGAACTACTCACTGTCACTGTTTTAAAAACTCAAACTGGGAGACAAAGAAATAAACTAAAATCACAGACATGCAGCGCCCTGGGGCCTGGTGCCACCCACAGTCCCGTGGAGCCTACGCAGAGCCAAAGGTTCGGGTGTCACATGGGTCTGTGACCCAGAGCAGCCCCCTTTCTCCCTCGGCAGATGCTGTGCTGTTCTTTCTCAGGGTTGCCCAGTGTGCCCAGGGCTCAGCACAAAGGCCAGGGCTGTTCTCTGCCCCGGTGGCAGCAGAGGTCGGAGAGCCCTACAGAACAGGTGTGTCCCAGGCTACAGAGACGCCAGCCTGACCAGCAGCACGTCTAGCCTGGTCTCATTTTCGGGGTGAGCTTGCGCCGTGTCTCCCAAGACCCGCAGGCCTGCCAGCCCCAGATGAGTCTGCCTTGGCCCTGAGTGTAGGGCCACCAGCCTGGTTTGTGTCCCAGTCCCGCCATCAGTGTGAGACCTCCAGCTCTGCGTCCTCGGGCCTCAGTGTCCCCATCTCAAGAGTGCAATGTGGCGGTGGGGTCCACTGTGGACAGTCACCCGACCAGGGGGACGAGGACACCTACTCCTCCACGGTGAGGCACACGAGGCGCCGGCGGAGGCCCGCGGCCTGCTGCTTCTCCAGGGCCTCGCGGCCCAGAAAGGGCTCAGCCGACTTGAGCTTGCAGGTGAAGGCCAGGCCGGCCTCCAGCGGGCTGTCATCCGGCCGCAGGTCCGCGTGCCAGTGCCGGTAGCCTGGGGGACAGAGAGACCACGGATCAGTGTCCAGCTGCAGGGACAGGAGCAGCCCTCCTGGATGCCAGAAGGTCCCCCATGTGAGCCCCTGGAGCAGGCTGGCCTGGCACCATCTGGCCAGGGACAGCAGGGGTGGACTTCAAGGGGCACTGGGGCAGCCCTGAGGGACGGCTGGGAGTGGGCTCAGGGGCAGCACATGCCCTGAGCTTCCTTCAGGCCCTGGCTTCTGTCCCCCATACTGAAACACTCCACTCTCTCAGGGCAACCACAGAGCTGGGTTCAAATCCCACCCTGGACAGCACCTCACCCATCAGCCCAGCTGTGTGCTGGTGTGGGAACTCCAATGCTGTCCTGGGGGCTGCACAGGGCAGCTGGTGTGTGGCCATGGCAGGGTGGGAGAGGTGAACAATGCTGGGAGGTAGGAAGAGTGGTGTGGGAGGGAGCCCCAGGGCCTCCAGACCCAGCACCCACCTTTCTCGATGCTCAAGGAGTCAATGGCACGGTACCCAGCATTGACAAGACCGTGCTGGGCTCCTGCAGCCATCACGGCACGGTACACAGGCAGGCAGGAGGCCTGGGGGACATGCAGCTCCCAGCCCAGCTCCCCCACGAAGGACAGCCTCAGGGCCCGGACCTGGGGAGATACAGGCACCGCTGGGCACAGCCAGGCAGAGCACGAGGCCCAGACCCAGTCACCGCCTCCCAGGCACAGTGCCCGCTGTCGCCACTGCCATCAGCCAGCCCTGGCCTCGGCCAGACTAGGAAACAGAGCCTTGCAAGGCAAGGAAGCAGGGCTGCTCTGCACCCTTACGGTGGGGGACGGGTGCCCACTGGGGAGTGGGGGCGCTGTGCTCAGTGTCCCCAGATCTAAGCAGCTGTTGGTCTCCTTGTGGTCACAGCAACGGTGGCAAACTGGCAGCTTGAAGCAATAGAAATGGGCTCTCTGAGTGCCCAGAGCAGAAGGTGGCAGGGCCACGGCCCTGTCCTGGGCAGATTTCGGGGCAGGGGGTCGTTGCCATTCTCTTCCGGCTTCTCTGACGTCTGCTCTGTGGCCACCTCACTCCGGCCACAGGCCCTGTGTTCACACGACCTCTCCCCCGTGTCCCGGGCTCCTCTCCGTCTCTTGGATTGGTTCGGTTACTGAGTTTCAGCCTCAGTCTCATCTCGCATAATCACTGCGATGCTCGCCTCAGTTACGTCAGCAAAGACCTGCTTTCAAATTGGACCACGTCACAGGGTCAGGACACAGACCGACCTCAGGCAAGCCTTGCGGCCTCCATTTCCCTGTCAGATGGTAGGGACAGGAGCCCTGCTCTGTCCTTGGAAGCTGTCGGCCACACTTGATGGACACAAAGGCCCCGAGAGGACAGGCAGCTGGACCCGTTGCTCTAGAAGTCAGCCATGCATCAGTGTGGTCAGCCTGGGCCAGGCGTCGGGATCTGCGGACCGATGCTGCCTCTGCCCCCAGGGCTCAGGCCCCGGTGGAAGCAGGCACCATGCTCAGAAGGAAGGCCCGGGTCTGCAGATGGCTGAGCTCTTCCCATCCATCCACTGCTTCACGGCCCCGTGGAGGGGGGACCGCAGTGCATTATGTCCTCGGACTGATGCCAGAGCACAGGTGCCCAGAGGGGCATCCAGCCCTGCCGGGAGTGTCTGGTGCTCCCACACACCATGGAGGCCATGACCAGCATGGGCAACTGCTTGCCCAGGGGGACGTAAGCTTTCTGCCATTTGATTTGAATATACATCCTGCAATTGCCACTCGCACCTGGCCCTCCGGGAGCCCTGGAGCCCAGGGTCCCATGGCAAGGAAGGCCTGAGTGCTCAGCTCCGGGGCTGCAGAGCAAGTACACAGAGGGTTGCAGAGGCACTGGGCTGCCCAGTGCTGGGAATGGGAAGGGAGGATCCAAGCCTGTGTGTCTGCCGCCCGCCGGCCATACCAGCTCCTCTCAAACCAGAAGCCTTAACTGTATTGCTGTACCTGCCCTGGGGCTGGATTCCGAAAGCTTTTAAAACAGTGCAAATACGCTCAGAGCTGCCATTTGCCCACTCCTCTCAAAACCCTCAAAATTGATGCAGAAAATGTTCCGTTGACATTTCTTAGCTTGCCTGGTGTGAGCTGTAGGCCGCTGATGAAGACGGCCCTGTCACCAGATTCTAATTTTACTGGGGCCCGGAGCCAGCCTCCCTGGGAAACCGGAAGAGGGCTCTGAGCTGCTCCGGAGCTGCCTGCAGTGCAGACCCTGCTAGGACCCAGGTCCTTGCCACGCCATGGGCCATGAGTGGAAGGAGACCCTGGGGCGGAGCTCGCTCCCTGGCTCAGTCTGGGGCTGGTCCTCCAGCTCCTCCGGGTCCCTGTGCCCAGGCCGGCCCAATGCCTGGCTCAGCACGGAGGAGGGCACAGGCCTGGGAAGTCCATTTGTCTCCAGAGTTCGCAGAATCAGTGCTTCTCCAGAACCGTGGAGTCAGAGGAAGTCTCAGTTTTTCCTGATAGGGACACACAGGAAGGGACAGGGCTGCCATGGTGACATCCAGAGCTCGGTTGCCGGTGGCCCAGACCTGTGCAGAAACGGCCCCTGCCAGATACTCTTGAGCGCCAGCCAGGCTCAGCCCAGGTGCCCTCGCCTCCTCTGATGGAGGGTTTGTGCGCAGCAGGGTTTACAGAAAGTGCAGGGCCTGGCACCCTGGCTGGCAGAGATTGGCTCTGGTGATCCTGAAAGCCCCACGTGGCCCTGGAACCCTAGCAACAGACGAAGTTGTAGGATGAGAAGGTGGGCAGGAAGGGCCTCAACCCAGGTTTTGCATAAAGCTTTCTCCTGCCCTAAAGATCACACACGCACGCACACTCACAAATGAATTTAACAGTGTCAGGCTACAAAGCCAACACACAAAACAGCTGCATTTCTATATGTTTGCAATGAACAATCCAAAGAAAAAATTAAGATAATTCCATTTATAGTGTCATCAAAAAGAATAAAATACTGCCGGGGATTTAGCTCAGTGGTGCTGCCGCCTGTCTGGCAAGCGCAAGGTCCCGAGTTCAATCCCTGGTACAAAACAAAAAAAGGAACAAAATATCTAGGGATGAACCTACCCAAGGAGGTGGAGAAATTAAGACAATACAAATAAATTCACAGATATCCTGTGTTCTGGGACTGAAACACTTAATACCGCTAAGATGCCCAAACTACCTAAAGCAATCTGGGATTCATTTCACTCCTTACCAAAATCCAATGCATTTGCTTTGCAGGCATAAAAAAAAAAAAAAAAAATCTATCCTAAAATCCCTGTGAATCTCCAAGGACCCCAAATGGTCAAATCAGTTTTTTAAAAGAAGAAAGTGGGAAGAATTACCTTCCTGACACCTAGACACACTGTGGGGCGACGGCAGCCAAGACAACTCACTGCTAGCCAAAGACAGAGCCTGGACCCGTGGGGCAGAAGAGAACAACAGAAGTGAGTCTCCCTTCAGATGATCAAGACCTTCAACAACCTTCCAAGACCAACAAATCTGCCTCTCCATACATGGTATTGAGGCTGGGAGTGGTGGCACAGGCCTGCAATCCCAGCACTCAGGAGGCTGAGGCAGGAGGATCGCTGCAAGTTCAAGGCTAGCCTGGGCTACATCGCAAGACTCTGTCTCAAATAAATAAATAAATGGTATTGGGAAAACTGATATTCAGTTGTGAAAGATTGAGGCTGGACCCTTACCTGACACCTTATACAAAAATGAATGCCACTAGAATAAAGATTGAGCCATAGAGCCATAATTGTAAAACTTCTAGAAGAAAATGTAGGGGAATCAGAAATGACAATTTCTTGGCTGTGATGTGAACAGCACAGGAAACAAAGAAAAAATACACACACAGAATGGCATTAAGCATGGATGCTTTGTGCACCCAAAGACACAACAGATGAAAAGGCAGCCTGTAGATCGCTTATCAGATAATGGGTCAAGGCCCACAATGCACAAAGGGCTCCTACAGCTCAACAACAACTATCTGACTTTAACACCAGTGAAGCATTCGGAGAAATATTTCTCCAAAGATGATTACTCATAGCCAAATAGCACGTGAGAAGACACCTGACCTCACGAATTATCAGGAACATAGAGTGGTGTGGCAGCTATGGCAACAGTATGGGATACGGGAACCCCTCGGTGATCCTGCAATCCCACTTCCGGGAGTGCAGCCCAAAGTGCCGAGGACAGTGCCGCCCAGAGCTGTCTGCACACTCACGCTCCTGGAATCACGACTGCCTAACGTCCACCAGTGATGGTGGACAAACACTGGGTGGCCTGTCCTTTCAGCAGGGCAGTGCTGGCTTTAAAAACAAAAGAAACTGACCCCATCTACAGCGCTGACAGGTCACGAGAGCATTGGGCTGGGTGACACCAGCCCGTTCCCAGGACAGGCACCACACGACTCTACTTCTCCCAGGTGCCCAGAGCCATACAAGTCCACGGAGATACAGAGTAGGTGGTGGTGCCCCGGGGCCAGGCTTGGGAAACGAGTCTGTCCAGTGGGCACAGAACACCAGCTCACCAACACCAGTTCCTCCACTGCGCAGCACAGCTGGCAGGGGACCCTGCAGCCCCACCAGCTTTGGTGAATGCAATACCTTTAGTGGTCACGGTTCTGTGGGTGTCAGGCCCTCCCTGGCCCTGGAGGGGATTCTGCAGGGTGGCACTGGTCCCTAGGGTCACGGCCCTCCCTCTGCCTGTCACCTGTTTGACTGGGGCTATGGGGGTGATGGGGGTGGCACAGGGTGGCAAGCACAGGGCCTCTCCTTGCCCTGGGCTGCATAGCACCATCTCTGCCGCTGGTGCTGCCTACTAGAGCAGTCGGTGGTCGACAGGCACAAGGCTCACCAGCTGCCACAGCAAAGCCAGAACCTGGGCTCATGGCCCAGGGCACACAGAGGGTGGCTGGTCACGCAGTGTGTTTCTACAGAGGTCCCTTGCCCAGAGAGAAAGGCAGCAGGAGGCATCCCCGTGCCACAGACGCACACCTTCAAGACTCCCGCTGGGTCCAGGCACCATGGGGACACCTCCACTCCAACACTTCCAGCTTCCTTGGCTGACACAGGACGGGTAGGGCAAGGCTACCCACCAGAGCAGCAGGCACCATGGCTGAGCTCTGGGAGACACAGACTTGGGTTTAAACTGAGGACTCAACAGTCTCACCCCTGGCAGCTGACCTCGCCTTGGAATCCCAGCTTCTGCCACGGAAGACCCGGGCGGTCACAGCAATTACCTCGTGGGGTGGTCACACCCGAGCTCACTACAGTCAGGGTACAGGCAGGCACCCAGGTTTGTCAGAAAAGGAAGCTGGGGCTCAAGGCGGTCGGGTCCCTCACCCAAGGCCTGGTGCCGTCCTGGAAAGTGATGGCCGGCTCTTCTGCAGCCTTTCCCAGTGTCCACGGCACACCTGCTCTGGCTGGACTGATTGTAGAGGGTTTCATGCTGCGCTGCAATGAATGAGCCCAGCTCAGCAGTCTCCCTTCTCTTGGACCCATGGGCTCCCCCTGCTGGGAAAGTAGGTTCTGGCCCCTGCAGAGAGGGCCTCGTGGGCAGTGGCAGGGCTAGAGGCCACTTGGTGCTCCAGCTGGGGAGCCCAGCCCAACAACACAAGC